CAAAGGCTCCGGTTGTGGATTTCCCAAGAAAAAATCACCTGCCTTGGCCTGGGCAACCTGACAGTATTCGGCCCACTTGCAAATCGTGGAGCGTTTTTCTTTTTATAAAAATTATTGTACCACGATTTGTTTGGCACACAGTCTGGCATCAGACGTGTTTAAATCTATTGGAAGCTGGAGGGAACTGAAAACTCTCTGAGGTAGACACGGGTACTAAGCTAAGCTATCTGGAAGTTGTGGTATTTGCACACGGAAACTGGTGTGTATCATGTGGATTAGCAGCACGCACAGTTAGCCTGGAACTTTTCTAAGTAAGGTGTGCACATTCTTGAAGGAAATCAGAAATATATGCATATATTCACAAGACCATTTTAAGGTTTTATATAGAGTAATGTGTTCAAGCTTAGTCGCTCTTCTACAGGAAGGACGCAAGAAGGTCCAGCGACTAGTAACAAATGTGATTGAGTACTGCAGGCTAAGTCCACAAAAGATTGCCACCAAGACGGTCAACAGGTTGCTTCACCCACAAAGAGAGATAATACTCATTGGGATTACATTCTACTAAGTACCGCCGAATTTGAGCAGACTTGATTTTGGTGTATCCAATATTGAAGAACTATCCATGCCGTCCACTGCTTGCAATGTCACCCAACATCCACCTCAGGAGACATCATTGAAAGTTGGTGCTTCCAAATTGTTGACTGGAATGCCTGTGTTAATCTTTTTCCATCGGGGTGTGCACCACTTGGAACGCTCTCGGTCTCATGTCATTTCTGTGTCAACTGTTGAATCTTTCAAACGGAGACTCAGTAAAACCCTGACACACCTCACATTCCTACACATGGTTAATGGTTGTAAGAACTGAACTGAACACAACGAAAAACGCGAGTTTTGTTGAAGTTGTGTTATCTCCTACCCGGGGTTCAGATATAAGCTACTCACCGGCCACATCACTGTCCTCATATCATGCCAGAGTAACCCCGACTCAGTCGAATACAAATTGTTCATTACATCACTGCGCGTTGCAAATCCTCCTCCATTTAATCACCACTAATTTCAGTACTGGGATGAGATATCGCTCGAAGGTACGGATGTTTAGTTCTGAATAATGCACTGTGTTTAGTGTGGTCAGACCAATTTGAGTAGCAATTGAAAAATTGCTACAAACCAGCATGGAACTGCCGTAGTGTATCCGATGGCGGATAGATTATTATTCTTTCCACAAATTAAAACACTATTAATCCGAAATATTGATCAGTTTTATCTCCAAACTATCCCGAATTCAAATCGTTTTTATCATGTGGCACATGGTTCAACCGACGATATGCGTGGTTCAGTTGTTATGGTTGCTGATCTACTCGTCTGCTTGCTTTTAATACCAGAAACCGTTTTCAGTTTTTCGTCTTACGATTCTAATTGAAACAGTCAGCTAAATTTCCGTTCGTATCGCAAATGCGTGACTCGTTCAGTTCGATGTCAATGCGCACGAACTCGCGCCTGTTTTTCTCCGAAAGCTCTATTGAAACCCTCAGTCATTGAATACTTCAGTTTTATTTTTGATTGACCTGGATCTGTCGCATCGTCCGGTTATCTCCTGTGTGTTACATCTCAATTCACAAAATTTGTAACGATCCTGAATTTCTCCTGATCCGTAAGTTCCTTCCACGATCGATACCGATTTCTGCAACCTCATTTGGCAACTCAGATCCCACTTAAGGGTCGCTGTAGTTGGTGTGATCAAATGAGAGTAGGTCACATCAGTTTGCCAAACAAACATTATACCTTTGGAACAGTTGCTCTTTTAAAGGTACAGCAAAGTATTATGAGGCCAAGTCTGCGGGTATGCTATATTTCTAATGCGGTAAAATTTGTGAGTTTTTCACCCACCTGGATTACAATGAAATTATATTATTGCAAAGTTTTGTATTTAGGTTTTCCATCGTGTACTATTTAGATTCCTCGAAATTGGGAATGTTGCAAACCACTGAGGGGGGGGGGGAGAGGATGNGGGGCAGCAATTTTACCGAGATATGTGTACTGAAAAACTCCACAGCAATGTAGGCCAGGTCAACTTGCAAACCACATCATCGTGGACATACAACTGCTTACGGATTTCATACGGGACGATCATCTTGTCTCACATGACAGTCGAGGTGGCTAATAACAACCAGATATTGTGCATTCTGTTCTAACACTAAATTAATCATCAATTTGTTCGAAAGTAATGCCACATAGTTAAAACGGAGCTCAAAATGGATACGCAAAATGCCCCCCTCCACCCGGGGTGAACAGTTCCACCGAGGATGAGCAGTGCTCTCGTCGATTTCACATCTACTAGAAAATCATACCCACAGCTTACTTGAAGTAGACGGTGGTGTTTCTAATTAAAAAAATGAGAGGGCGAAAAGCCCATATTCGGGACTATAGAGGAATTCAGGAGCACTGGATGGCTAGTTCACCTAAACGAGA